GTGATGTGTTTTCTTCAAAACCAGTTTTGTGCAATATATACAAAAACAATATGTACTGTATATGTGTTTTTTCAGTAATCATATGGTGTGTGGATTTCGATTTGAATTAACAGTTGTATGCCACTGTGTCCTTGTAAACAAAATGCAAAGCGTGAAAATTATGTTAAAACCTTAGAAATTTCACTGGCTCAATTTTTATTTGAAAATGGAGCTGTGTCTTTATTTTATCTCCCAATTCTAACATTTTTGCTTGTACTGGTTTCTAAAATGTAAAAAAACACCATAAATAATACATTTATGCAGTTAGCCTTCATTCAGACATACTGTGTATAATAAAAATATCATAAACAGCATCTTAACTGCAACTGTACTCTATATGACAAAGGAATTGTGTTTATAAATCCTTCTGACTGTTAAGGGTGATCATTTAATTCAGTTCTTTACTGTGCTGCTGATTTATAGTTTAACAAAACTAACTATTCACAATCTAATAGTCCTAGAAGTTGGACCAAAGTATTTATCTGTATTTTGATTATTTTCAGTTATTTGTCATGCTGACAACTTTAAATTGAGAATTGCTACAATACATCATTATGGCCTGAACATCTCAATGTGAATTTGTCATATTTCTCTTCAGCAAAAGCAAATACAATTACATTGTAGGACACAATATAGTTTTGTTTTCTAAAGCCTAATGAGCTACATTTTCTAAAATGCCACATTGACTAACACTACAATTTAGAACCAGACCATCAACATGCTGAATAAACCACAATTAATTTAGAGTCTAAATTTCACTTAATCCATCTCTTTCTCTTAACATATTAATTCAGGAATGAAGGCAGTTTACTTTTCTACTGTATATAACTATGCACAGTATATCTACAACCTAGAAAACAATGTTTATCATTCATCTTACTACAAATATGTTCTTCTTGTGTGCTGTAAAATGAGGTTTTATCTTTAAAGCGTTGTCTATTTTATCAATCTGGCGTTATCTTCCTATTTGGTTAAGGAAAACATCAATCTTGACTGACAAAAAAACAAGAATAATGGAAAATAAACGGATATCCCATGCGAAAAAAAGCCAGCAGAAACAGTATTATTTATCATTTATCATTATAAAATCCATAGCTTTCTCCAATAAACAAGAACCCCTTTCGTGGTACGTGCAGGAAAAGCCCTATCGAGCACCGTGAAGTTGCCCCCACTACGGACAGCACAATCGATTAAACCCACCTCATTCGTTAGTGCTACTTTTGTACCGGTTCGTGCAGTTGAAAGTAGCGTTTGTGCTGTTTTCGTTCCCGAGATATAGCGCCTTGGTTTTCCGCTGATCACGTGACCATGCACGGTGCCTTTGAACTCCGGTGACCCGGTCTGCCGAGCTCAAGCGTCTGTTCGTGCGAGAGTAACAGTTCTGCAATTGTGTTTCTTTGTTTTCCCTGGGTGGGGGGCGGCGGTGGATTTTGCATTTAATATCAGTGTCTTCTGTGCGTTTGTGTGAGCAGGAAAATTAAATTTCTCACAACCCTAATCAGAAGAGTTGCAGGTGTAGTCTCAAAAAGCGAACATTAGCAAACAATTGCATGTTCTTACCAAGAGGCTTTAACGAGCACGTCTTAATACTTCATAGCGGTGTGCTTTTTTAAAAATCTGAAGAAGTGATCAGTTTCTCACTGTCCCCTTCTTAAATAAACACGCGCACCAAGGGACGTGTAGAGATCCGCTCCGTCAGTCGATCCACGTGTTCAAAAAGGCTTGAATCTGCAACTTTACGAACAAGACCACTGTTGCACTTTTTATGCAAAGCACATTCGTTAAAGTAAAAAAGAACCAGAGTGTTTTTAAGGGGCATTACGAACAAAGTTGTCGCGGGTAGTAAATAACACATCCGAGAAGCAACACTGGAAAGTCCACCGTCTCACACCTGCGGACCGCGGCAATATTGGAAACATATTTTTATTTCCACATAACAAAAGTGAACATATATCTGAATTCTTTAATAAACTGTCATTATCCGTGTGTTTTTATTTACAGGAATTATATGCGCAAACATGAGGCGATGAGCTCACTGTCCTTTTATCTTTGGATTTCCGGCCAGTCCTTGGTGTAGAATACAGCGTGAGGGCACACCTGCCCCCTGAAGACACAAGTATGGGTGCCTGTGTTAGATCCTCAGGTGAAGTCAATGTAATGACCTAGACATGTTTGCTTGTCCTGCTCCATGAAGTTGCTGCGTTTGTGCCGGTAGGTGTCGCTGTAAGTAGGGTTTGTGCTGCTTTCGTTTCCGAGATATAGCGCCTTGTTGTCTCGGGTAATCACGTGACTATCTGCAAGGAAGTTTACAGGTATCAGCAAACTCGGTACTTGAACTTCTGATTGTGATGAAAATAATGGGGGCAATTTGTTTTCCGAGTCAGTCTGGTCGGGTGGGGTGGATGTTTCAATATATTTCAATATAGCGCCTTCTTTTCCTGCCTGTGACGTCACATTACCTGTAAAGTGCTTTGAGTGGAGATCCAGAAAAAAACGCTATATACGTGTAAGCAATTATTATTATTAATACCTGAGACTGTTTTTCAGAGTGTGAACAGCTCTTGTCTGAACTACATATCATCAGAGAGCTATGGGGCACGACTGGCCATTTTTATTCACCTGACAAACTGTGACTCTGTTATTCACTCTGTGACATACAAGCAGCAAAGTCACGACCACCAGATCTTTCAGTTGTGATCTTTTGATCAGTTGACCCCAGACTTTGCAGCCTTTACACGAATAAACAGTCTTACATTTAGGGAGGAGTTACTAAGAGTTCATTGGGTTTCGGTGTTTTCATTTAATTTTTAACCACGTTCTCGAAAATGTATTGCTTGTGCACTCCTTTCATTGGTGAAAAGACATCAGTTTCCAAATTACCGCTGGTACAACACGAGAGCCCATATTTACATTTTTAGGTATTAGTTTCAAGATCGATATAATTTAACAATAAAAAAACAAAATTGAAGGCACGAACATAATAATATAATGATCATAGACTTTACATTTCTATTCATTTTTGAAGTACAAAATACCTGAAATATACGATTACAATTGTTCAAACACCATGTATTCATTACAGAAACCAGCGGAGATATTGCAAATAAAAATGTATTTATTTCGAAGAGTACGGGACATTGTGAATCAATAAAGACGTTAAAAAAGCCGATAAGTAAAGCATTTTAAAAATAACTTCTCATTGACAGTAAACAAGCCGATCCACCCGGCGCTGCTAGCTTGAACAGCTCTCAGACCCGTGATTGGCTAAACCCCCGAACAGCTCGGGCTGCGATTGGGTGAAGCGTGAGAATCGACACTCTGATTGGGTAAAGCTCCACAGCGGCAGTTCTGTGTGTTCTGTGTGTGCTGTATGAGCACGCTGGATACACAGTAACACATCCATTTGTTTCCAATTACTGATCAATCTAAGAGAAGTCGCACGGAAGTCAAAACTGAATAGCAGACAAAGAATGTCATGGCATCCACAGCGCGTTCACGACTCCGATAGCATGTCACGATAGTAGTGCGCGCACCAGTCACATCGCGATACCCACTGCGACTAGGGGATCACTGTCATGCGCCACTGTCGCGACATGAAGCCACATATCGCGATATGACATACCCCGGCAAAAAGTACCCCAGCCCCATGTCACGACATGAAGTCCGCATATCGCGATATGACATACCCCGGCAAAAGTGCCCCACCCCTATGTCGCGACATGAAGTCCGCATATCGCGATATGACAT